AAAAAAAAAAAAAAAAAAAAAAAAAAAAAGAGCAATGGAATTGCCATCTCTTTTAGAGATGTAAAAATTGTGGTCCACTTGTAACCAACAAATGGCAGTCAGGATGGCACTTAGTTGCCCGTCGCCAGGGCTCAACCTGATCATGTCATAGACCCTACAGTTCAAGCCTTACCAAATTTAGGTAGGGATAATAACGGTAGGGTGGAAGCGGGGGCAGGGGCTCATCATATAAACATCTCCTCTAATAAATTAAAGTCTCTCTGAACTTCAGTTCCCCTACCGCACCCCAGCACTTCTTTTCCCCTTCCTGCATACACTCTTGTTGCCTTTTCATTCTCTTCTTACCATAAGGTGATCAGATTTTAACATTGGTAAAGCGCGACACCATTGGGCGGGGCTATTGGCTGAGCTGTTTATGGTTAGGGGGTTAGGGACTCTCTAGAGAGGGGGTGGCAACTTGTTTGTTCCAGACAGTTTGGCTCCTTCTGAGCTAATTGTCCTTGCCTAGAAGTGAGGGAGGGAGCCAGTCTCCTTCTGATACCGATTCGAACTGGGTGACCTTGCCCAGGAGGGGAGTAGGGAGTTTACCGTAGCATTTTCATTTCCAAATGAAGTTATATTAACCTCTTCGTTCCCAAATGGAGTTACATTAACCTTTTCAGCGCCGAAAACCCTTTATTCCCTTCCCATTCTCCTGCCGTTCCCTAGCTTATCGTGTCTTCTTTCCAAAAATCGGTACTTTTTTTAAAACGCCATGGGACGCGGGATAAATTGTTCAAAAGCGGGAAGTCTGGTCACCTTATCTTACCATCAACATGCCACAGAAACTTTTAATGCTCCTAAAACTATGCACTGAATGACCTCCCTAACCCTGTCTGTCTGGGACCAACATGCGACTCACCACACCACCAGAGCTGATCTCTACTGCATTCTACCTGAGAGTCAACTGATCACAGGCTCAGATGTCCTGGCAATGTCAAAGTGTTTTAAAAGTTCATAAATAAACTTCTGTACTTGTCTTAGGTGGCAACACACCATTGGCAGGGGGTTCAGGCTACTTTATCACAGCATCACTGTGGATCTCCTTTTTCTAGACACTTTAGCTGCTAAGTCAAGTTAACTGCTACAGGTGCTCATTCTCTTCTGTTTTGCTCTTCCATGGCAGACCCTGGTTGGCCTCCTACTTACCTGGCCACTCTTCAATGCCTCATTCATCTATTTGAAAGACTCAACTTGTTCTCCCCTAACTCTTAATATGGTGTCCTATTAAACGCTGGTGTATGATAGTTCAATATTACCTACCTCCTGGTTTTCTCTGTTAGATAAAAGTTATTAATGTTTAAAAATTATAATAATAGGCTCAGTGCGTGTGGCTCAAGAGGCTACGGCACCAGCCACATACACCTAAGGTGGTGGGTTCAAATCCAGCCTGAGCCCGCCAAACAACAATGACGGCTGCAACCAAAAAATAGCCGGGCGTTGTGGCCGGCACCTGTGGTCCCAGCTACTTGGGAGGCGGAGACAGGAGACTCGCTTGAGCCCAGGAGTTGTAAGGTTGCTGTGAGCTGTAATGCCACGGCACTCTACCCAGGGGGACAGCTTGAGGCTCTGTCTCAAAAAAAATTATAATAATATATAAAGAAAAACTATTAAAAATACTAATGTCTAAGGGAAAACAATTTTGTATGGAAGGTATGCAAAATAAGTTTTTGTTAAGGAAAAACAGAATTGTTTTATCCTAAATTAAAAGAACTAATGGTTCCAAAAATATGTAAGACAAAATGGAAACAAATATTGTAACAATTATAAAAGGTTCACAGAAAAGGAATTTTATTCTTCATGGTTAAAACTGGCTAAAATATATCAAGTCAACTTATAAGATGTTCAAAAAAGAGCTCTAGAGTCAAATACATTGGTGTAAAACTAAAATTTGGTTTTTGCTGTTAAAATTACAAAGTTTTATTGGATCATTGGTCTTCTCTTAATAAAAGGATATAAATGATCTGTCTTTCCTTCTGAGTAATCTGTCTAAAAGGCAAACATTTTATGTCTTATCAAAATGCTATGTAGGCTCAGCACCTGTGGCTCAAGTGGCTAAGGTGCCAACCACATACACCTAAGGTGGCGGGTTCGAATCCAGCCTGAGCCTGCCAAACAACAATGACGACTGCAACCAAAAAATAGCTGGGCGTTGTGGTGGGTGCCTGTGGTCCCAGCTACTTGGGAGGCTGAGGCAGGAGACTCCCTTGAGCCCAGGAGTTGGAGGTTGCTGTGAGCTGTGATGCCACAGCACTCTGCCCAGGGGGACAGCTTGAGGCTCTGTCTCAAAAAAAAAAAAAAAAGCTATATAATGCCCTATGTTTATACTGACTTTGTTATCTCCTTAATTTTTTTAAAAGTCTTTTCAATTTTAAAGGCACTAAGATTAAGGTAACCAGATTTTAACATTGGTAAAGGGGGACACAGTAGACGGGGGGATGGGGGGGATTCTTAATTAAAAATTTGGTCTATATGGAGCAATAAAAATTTTCATAGAATGCAAAAATAGTATTATAATCTATATTTTTTAAATTTCAACATAAGTACAATTTACAAATATAATACATTAAAAAAATTATGTATAGGGCAGCGCCTGTGGCTCAAAGGAGTAGGGCTTGACCCACCTGGGAGACCTTGCCCAGGAGGGGAGTAGGGAGTTTACATGAGCCTTTTCATTTCCAAATGAAGTTACATTAACCTCTTCATTCCCAAATGGAGTTACATTAACCTTTTCAGCAGCCGAAAACCGTATATTTCCTTCTCATTCATTGTCCCACTGTTCCCTAACTTGTCGTCGTCGTCGTGTATTCTTTCCAAAAATCGGGACTTTTTAAAAATGCTGTGGGATGTGGGACAAACTGTTGAAAATCGGGACTGTCCTGCCAAAAGCGGGACGTCTGGTCACCTTATCTAAGATTCTTTATAATCACTTCACCTCCTATGCTTACTTTAAAATTTTTATCACTGTGATTCAATAGATAACCAAGTATTATTTCTCAATAACTCATCATCTTATGCAATCGAATGTTCAAGGCCTCCTGACAACTTTTAACATTTTCCCTTCCCAAAAATCAAATCTTGAATGTTTTTTATGCCTGAAACTGAAATTGGGATTTCCCAGAAGGTCCCTGGAAAATCCAGAAGGATTTATTCTTCCACTTTGTAATAAGAGAGGTGACAAAAATAGCTTTATTGATAATATTGCATAAATTGCATTGGAAGCATTGTCAGATAAAAAAAGCTAGTGTTTCCCTAAATTAATTTTAATGGGTGAAATGCTATTAACATAAAGATTTTAGAAATTATATGAGGTTCCTGGAAATTGTTCTTTCTCTTCAGTGCCCATTATATGTTGCTATTTATCAGTGTCCCAGTGCTGCTTTGCCTTATTTAGACAACAATTCAATGTTATCAGTCATGATTTAAATTGTTTTTTAAAATGTTAACTTGGTCACAATTTTACTTCCTTAATTTATATCCAGTGTATTCTAAGCTAGTGGTTTTCAACTGGAAAGTGACATTACTTATCTATGAAATTCTGTTAATATACATATGTTTAGACAGATGGGTTTTTTTTTTTAATTTTTAGACAGAGTTTCTGTATGTTGCCCTGGGTAGAGTGCTGTGGTGTCACAGCTCACAGCAACCTCAAACTCTTGGGCTTAAGCAATTCTCCTGCTTCAGCCTCCAAAGTAGCCAGGACCACAGGTGCCCACCACAATGCCTGGCC